GGGTGGTTTGCTGGTGGTGTCCCTGCAAAAAAAAGAAAAACACCCAACAAGGCATCCCGGATCTTGAGCCACCGCTGTCTGAGATCATTAGCTTGAGAGCACATGGCGGCACCCAACGTCTTGTTAGCTTGGTCGGCTGGATTAAGCGGGTGATGAAAACAAAACTGGGCTGCCCTCAGATCCCCCGCTAAAAGTTTAACTTTTAGTGAATTAAATGGAAACTACCACTAAACACTAAAAAGCTAAAAGGCTGAGGGGATGGCTGGGGGCCACCAAGAAAACGAACTTGCTAGTGCGATAGGCAGAGAATGAGAAATGGAATGACCCCATAAACCATCCAACTGGTGGTTTCCTTTGAGGGAATCCCCAGGTTCATTCTCATTCCCTCATTCCCTTCTGAGCACCAGCAAGACAAACTCCCATGCCAGTGTCCAAAGAAGATGGAGGCAAGATCTCGGCATTTTACCTTGTTCACCGTTGATGGCTTAACGAGCCGGTCTCGTCAAACAGGGGCGCTTCATCAGTGAGGTTTAGATAACTTGGCATGTCATTGCGACTCAGCCAGAATGCAGACCACGGGACAGATCATGCGGGGTCCCTTTCAGTTTGCGGCTGAAGCCACCGCTATCCCAGACCCTCGAGAGGCCTAAAAAGAAACATCAACGGCCTGACTGTATCCATGAAAATGCTGCTAACAAGGCCTCACTAAACGAGCATCCACGGCGCCTTTTTCCAGTGGCCACCCCTTGGCGTCGCAGAAATTCGGCTCGCTTTGGGAATCCTGCTGACAACCCTCCCCCCCAAACCGCTTCCCCACCCGGCCTGTGTCAGCATTCACCTGGCTCTCCGGCCATGGCCGGTCCGAAAGTTTAGTGAAGTTGCCATGGCACAGGTAGGGCCTTGGTTGAGATTTGGCACAATCCCAAGGCAAAAACCAATAAACACCAGGAAGGGTAGAGCCTAAAGTCATTAGAGATCAATCTAGGTCGCCAAGGAGCAGATTATCGACGCTGCCTTTGGAATCCATTTTTGTCCCACCCAGCCAAAGGACACAAAAAAAAAACATGTCCGTGATGACAACATGTTATCAAACATTGCCAACTTAGGACCCCTGCAGTACTTCTGCTGTCGCACATGCTAGATATGAAGACCAATGGGCTCGAATATCCACGCCCTTCTGCTGAGCTTGAATATGAAGAAGGTGTACAGTCAGTAGAGTAAAACGCGGGCCTTCAATTACCACAAGGTATTTGCTTCTCCTAAACTCCAACGGATGTCCAAATCTAAGGCTTACTTCCAGTGGGTGCTATCGGAATGGCGGTGTTTGGCAATAGCACCAGTGGATAGTGTCGCAGGCAGGTCGTAAACAAACAAAATTGCGGACCCACGAAAATCGTCATTAGCAGAATCCGTCTTCTCCCCCAGTCCGGTCAATCACTCAGGGAGCGGCCGACAAAAACAGGCAACCAAGTGGCTGAGCTGCCCTAATGCCTGTGTTTCCTGGTTGGTTCCCTTTAAGTCAACCAAGCACCCTCAAAGAAGTACACCCATACTGGGTTGATGTCTGCTCTCCTGCTAAAAAAAACACGTTCTTTTAGTGGTTTAATAGAAAACCCATTGGTTGGCAACAAGTTAAAGTCCTAACATCCAAGCAAAATGCGCCTCTGCATATGTATATATATATATATATATGAAGCTGACCTTTACGAAAACCCAGCACAAGCCTCCAACAGCTCCAGCTCGAAGAACAAGGTTGCTCCCGGAGGAATGGGCCCCACACCTGGCAGTTCAAAAGGCCTGACATGCTGTCGCGATAGGTAGGGAATGATCGAGTCAGGGTGTTGGACATGAACATTTTGGGGAATCCCTTAAAGGAAACCACATTGGGGATGGTTTAGAGGGCGCATTCCATCATTCCCTGCAGAGAACCAGCAAGATGACAGGTCCACACTACGGCGATGCACATAGAATTGGAACCGGAGTGAGGAACTTGGCTACTTTGTTTGTTTATGCCCACTTTGGGGGCTTTTCAAGCCCAAATCATGGGCTTTCTGCAGAAGCGTCGGCTGCGGAGTTTCGATCCGTGCCAAGGCTGTGCGCAGCTCAAATGCCTGGCGCTTGGCCGTTTGAAAGGCTGCACCAAGATGATTTCGTGGAAGTTCCCGGAACCCGGGCAGTATCCCGCAACCAATGCAGCAGGGTCCATGTTCCAAGACTGCCGGCGTTTGACACAAATGGAGATGGCATGAAACTAAAGCTGAAACCCGCATAATGACAAACAGCCATGCAGCCATGTGACTGAGTCATTTCAAACAAACAAGTTAACACATGTGCCATTCCTTGCTCGTATGCGACTTGCGTGCTCTTTGGAAACTACAGTACCTGAATGACGAGACACCAACTCATCCCTTGAGCAAATAACGGTCAAATATTGACGGAACCTTGTGCACAGAAGGCCTTCCTGATGGACAAAGAAAAAACATGTTGTCTTCAAAGCTTGCTGGTTCTAAGCAGGGGATGAGGGAATGACCACTGTAAACGATGCCCTACAGTCTCCTTCAAGGGAATCCCCTTCCGGTTCATTCCCAACACACTGGCTCATTCCCTACTGAGCACCAGCAAGAAAACACCGCTGCTTGCCGAACTGGTGAGCCCCACTTGCACAGGCGTAACCATTCACCTTTGTCCTTCGTCAGAGGCCAGCAATGTGTTTTGTCCCAGCAACAAATTCATTGCACGCCTCTATCACCATAGGCCAGGTTGCTCGGTAGGATGATCTCCCACCTGAAGTCGAGAAAAGCTGGTACACACCAACCCAAACATGGCAAAAAACAAATCACTAACAAGCGACAGAGCCAGTAAAACCCATGCAATAAGCCATGGTCTCCAGTCCGAATTCTGGCACCATGCTTGGATACCCAGATGATGCGCCATACAGATAGTTCAGCGTGTGCATGACATTTGGAGATGAATTAAAATTGGCGATGCCCTTTTGAAATCCAAATTCACACTTCTTGTGATTGGTTACAATAGACACAATTTCATATCTGACTAGGTACATTTATGTTCATGGTTCCTAGCTAAAAACAAGCCAAAGGTTGCTGGCCTGTACAAGCAAGCACGTGGGTTCATTTTTTGGGAACCATGGTTTTGTAAGGAACGGACACCATATTTTCCAGGGTTTGAAGGTAGCCGGAGGTTTCGGACAGCCAAAGGCAACCGGGGTTGCCCCAAGCTTCCAATGATCACGATGGCTCATATGTTTACTTGTGTGTGGGACTCTGGCTGATTAGCAGATTGCTTGGGGAACCAAATCTTGGCAGATTTGTTGAAAGGGCGCATCTCTGCCTCAAACATAGCGATATCAGGTGCCTATACATTTATCTTCGACAGGGGCTCAAACAAAAAGAACGAAATCGAACAACTACGCAACTACACGTGCAATGGTTGAAGGCTGCGCTGGTTTGGGGGCGCTAGTACAGGCAGCCTATTGCGAGCAGGTATACCCAGATTTTCCCATCTTGAACCTGTTTGTCGACCTCCGTTTCACCTTTTTGCTTATGGGCCAACAAAGCGGCTTGGGTGTCGCAAAAGCAGGGTCCCCACAAGAACAGTGTTGCGGCGTGGTGACCTTCAGCCTGCACCGGCCCACAACATCGCGATATGTCCCAATTATATTTGAAGGCGCGAAAAAGCCGAGTGCCGGATGGAGCCCGAACTCCATTTGATTCTCTCCCCCGAATAAAAAAAAACGAAAAACAAAAACAATGGAAGTATAGTTGGACTTGCAAGGGAAATCCCTCTTCCCCCGTATCCATTTCCAAGATTTTCGGATTTTTCGCGATTTCAGCCCAGGCGCTTCTCGCCCTGGCGCATCATCTGCAAGGCTTCTGACCAGCCAGGCACCACCTGGGTGGGCCTGGCACGCCAAGGAACGTGGCAAGGGACTGATGCCTGGAACCAATGGGAAAAATCCGCTTCTTCAGCTAGGTGCACCAGTAGAGAGGTTAGAAGAAGGGTGCCAACTTTTTCTGTAGTCTATTTTAGTAGGGCAACCCTGCCCCAAAAAGGGTGAAAGGGCACTACTGGGGGACCTAGTCAGGAAAAATCAAGACGTTTGCTCATCAAGCTCTGATTGCTGAGGCGTGAAATATCAAGCAATCGAGCCAGGCAGTCTGCTAGATTTGGTACCATGACTTCAACTGCGTCCTGCGGCTCAGTTCGATCCCCCAGTTCTGCCACCCATGCTTGCAAGAGACTTGTCCCGAGAGCAATATGAGATCATGCATAGTCAGCCCTTCTCTCAGATACTTGACTGACACGTAGGGAACAGCTTCAGATCCTATCTGAAATCCATAGCCTCACCGCTTTCCCCTTTTCTCTGTGGCCATGGCAGTGTCTCCGACCCCCCCCCGGCCAATGCAAGTACGAAAGGCCGAGCCTGAATATCACTGGCTGCCGGTCGTACCTGAAAACAACAAAGAGGATTCCGATCGGACAACCACAGAACCAGAAATAAACACACCAACACAGACACCCACACCCACACACCAACACACCCACATACACCCACACATTCACCCACACATTCACCCACCCACCCACCCACCCACCCACCCACCCACCCACCCACCCACCCACCCACCCACTCACCCACCCACCCACCCACGCACGCACGCACGCACGCACGCACGCACGCACGCACGCACGCACGCAAGTGTGCAAAGAGACTTCCTACACCTTGGCCACTCAAAAAGGAGGTGGTGTTTGCAAGATCCGCGCTCTCCATGAAGACTTTGCAGTTCATCACTTCAAGCGCAGTTCACTCCGCTTGCGCGCTGGCGCTTCCAAGCTGCTCTCGGAGAGGCTTCCTCCCGAACTTGTGGATCCACCACAAGCGGTTCCAGAGCCTGCCCCAGCCAGTCCTGTGTTCTCACACGCACGCATGCACAAACACACAGACACACCTTCACCATGGCGAACACACAATGGCATGTAGAACATTCACATTATAATCACAAACAAGTAGAAGCTGGGAGCCATGCTCGATGTCCTGAAAACGGAAACCAGAATCAAGTCTAACAGTTTTTCCAGTCCCCTGATCCACAGCTTTAGTAATTTTTGCGGGGCTCCAGACTCCCCTTGTCACGGTTCCGTTTGAGGGGCTGCTGTTCTGTTCTGGCAACTGAACAAGCAACGAGAGCAACATGATTTATCCGCCGAGAAATGGCCGATCATCCATGCTCGATATAGCTAGGTCCTCCAGTAGAGAGGATAGAATAAGGGTACCCTTTTTTTCTGTAGTCTATTTTAGTAGGGCAACCCTCCACCAAAAAAGGGGAGAGAAGTGCACTACTGGAAGACCTAGTCTGTCCGTGAAGCCCAAAAACAATTCCTAGAGGCACCTTTTGCAGGACTCCCGCAGGTGCCGTCGTCTCAAACTTCAGAGGCTGGCGTGTGAGGTGTGGTTGATGGGGGTCCCGGGGTCGCCTTTTAAGCCTCCCGCAAGATGATCCGCAGGTCATCCGGCCGGTATGACCCAGAGATCTAAAGAATCGGACCAGGGATCCAATCACCTCAGATGCCCAGTGGCCAGGGAAGAAAAGGGCATCCTTTCTTTGGTTGGTCGAGTTGAAAGGGGAACCCTTCCCAAAAAAAGGAAAAAAGGGCACCACTGGGCAACTGGGAATCCTTTCGGGTCCCGTATTTTGCCACATTTTCGGACACGGGCAAACCAACTAATTCACGGGGCACGAGCTGTCGAACTCGGTGCCATCTGCCAGGGTGCCGCGATAGTGACACCTGGAGCATGGATCCGGAGGGAACGTCTCAAGAGGTAGAAACCTCCACGCGGAACTCGAGTCAAAAGCAACGCTGGGCAGCCAAACTTGTCCAAGGCTTAAATAGACAGTATTTGGCTGTGGCTAAAACCTGCGTTACCCTAGCCACACCCATTTCAGGGAAACTGCATGCATCCCCATAGGAGATTCAACCAGCAGGTTGAGTACGGGTCTTAGCAAGGAAGGTCGAGCCTTAGGGTCAGGACACTGCGACCGTGCTATCCATGTTACAAAGCCACAGGGCAAAGCAATCGAAATGCGCCTGCCGGAAACAAGTCATGCCAACGACGCTTGCCTTCAGGCAGGCATCAGGGCTGAGTATGGTACCCATCTCTTGGATGCTTTAGAGAGAAACCAAAACGAAACCAACCCTTTTTGGGGATCCCACAAAAAAAAACAAAAAAAAAAAAAAAAAACAAAAAAAAAACACACACAGCCATGTCACAAAATGGCTGGCGCTCTCTGGCACTCGGCACTCGGCACTCGATCCCAAGGAAGGGATTGACCAAAGTGTTGCAGCGAGTTTTTTGGCCAAGGCCCTGTGCGAGAGGAGCTGTAAGGCACGTTCCCGTCATGACAGTCATGACAGTCAAAGGTGGTTGGGCGAACCCTGGATCACACCCCTCGGACAGTCTTTGGCAATCACATCCGGCCTGCAGGCTGTCTCGGGCAAGGGCCTGTCCAAAACGACGAATCCATGAAAGGCATGGCCAACACTTGAGCTGTAACCTCCAAACATTATTTGACAATGGCAACAAATTAAGAGCACGTGGGACAATATTGGCACTTCTTCAGCCAACAACGACGCAACCATGTCGTCGAGTATTTGAAACAGCCGGATGCTAAGCACCGCAGTGCCTGGAAGAGAGGTCCAACACCCCCCAGAATGAAGTCATGTCAACCCTACTGCAGCTCCCACATGCTGAACTTTGAGAACATGTATGCCTGGTGCACAAAGTCCAGTCAGACAGGCCACCCAGCTTGTTGTGCCTAGCCTTCGTGTTCAAAAGGAGTAGTGCGAACACGCAAACACGATACTCGCAACTTTGCCTAGATTGTCACATACTGTCGCTTCTGAATGGGTCGCAAGCTTGCCAATTGATCCCGCCCGTCACCTGTATTGTCCACTGAGTTGCGGGGTCTTTTTATCAATCAGGAGACTGGCCAGGTCCTCGAGTAGAGAGGTAAGAATAAGGGTACCCTTTTTTCTGTAGTGTATTTTAGTAGGGGAACCCTCCCCGCAAAAAAAGGGTAAAAGGACTACTGGGGGACCTAGCTGGTGGGACTGGCAAGCTAAGTTATGTCCCGCAGGCTGCCCACTAGCTTTTGATCAGCGAAAGATTCGGATGCACAAATGCAGCAGGATGCGACTCGTGTATTGGCGCATTTCATTAACAAAGGGCTTCTGGCAAGCAGCATCTCAAAAACATGCACGGACACGGAACGTCTGCTTTTGGGTGTTGCAAAAGAGTGCTATTAAATGCATCCTCGGATCGCTCTGTAACCTGAACAAAGACTCATGCAGGGCAAGAGCCATTCTTGAGGACTCTATCAAACCTTGGCCCACGTTTGGGGTACACAGAAAACAATATGGTCAAATTCGCTTTCATACTTTGTCAACCCTACGGAACAATTTTGGTATCGGAGGCCCCAGAACTGAAGATCAAAGCAAATATTAGAAACCCGCCATGTTTTCCTATGCTAGCCGCAATGGAGCCATCGAGTGCGTCCGAAGGCCCTTGCTAGATACAACTGCAAATACTATCACTGCCTCTCGCGTAAGCTAATTTTGAGATGATTCGCATGGAACCAACGCGTTCATGGAGTGTATAACATCATCGACTATCCCGTGATGCGAGTTCCTGCTTGCCTAACTTCCCTTGCAAGTCATGTCTTGACTATATCAAGCTCGCTCTTGGTGAGTAAGGCACAACATCTATGGTGTCAAGGAGATGCCGGTAGCAATTCACTCAGAACACAGCTCCAAGCATTCGTAAGACCTAGCGATAGTACCGACTAACGCGAGGCCCATACCCGAAGCCCCAGCAACCCTCCTGCCTCTCCCCAGAAGGATTGCTTTTTAGCACCTGCGATGCCGAGATCAGTGCATCTCAAAACCGAGTCTGTCAGAATTTGCCTGCTGCAATGTTGCACGAGATAAACATGTCTTGTAAGAGTCGGAAGAAGCAATCAACTCATTCTAGCAAGCAGTGCCTCGAAAAAGTATAAAGTCCTTTTGCTCCTTTCACCCGACTCGAGCTTTTTGCGCCAAAGGTGTCTCTAGACTCCATGTTGCCTGGTGTCCCTGCCGGTCTTCCTTCTCACTTGCCATGACTAAAGGTCCTGAAGTAAACAATCAGCTTCCCCCTAATTGGCGGTTTGGATTGGTTTGGGGCTTTGAACCACTGCTTCTTTTCAGAAATATATCAAAAACCAGCACGGAACAAGAAACCAACGGGGTCCAAACCGCCCTTTTTGAGGGAAGCTGAAACAATTTGGGATGAGATGGGTGGGGTGACCGAGACCGGCTGTTGGTTGAATAAACCGCTTGGGGATTCGCATTCTCAAGGAAACCGGGATGGATGGCTTTTTCTGGGGATCAACCCGGATGGATGGCTTTTCTCTCGGGGTCATTCCATTGCTCATGCCCTGCGGGTCCAGACCACCACCCACAACTCCTCCCCAGAAATTCCCCTCTAAAGGAATCCAAATCGGATGGATGCTTTCTCTTGTCCTTCCTTTTCGAAATTTGCTGGGTCCATTGAACAGAACTCCTCCCTAGGAAGCGGTTCCTTTTGGGGTCATTCCATTTCTCATTTGCTGAGCTGGGTCCACTTACCCACATGGTTGTGGGTCAAAAAATAGGTACCCAAAATGGCTTGCCCTGCAAAATGGAAACATGGACTAAACTTTGCGGTTCCCTGATGGTACAATTTTGACCCATACCCATAGCAGATCTCCTGCGGCCCCGCCTTGTACTGGAGCCCGGACTCCGTCTTCTGGAAGTCGGAGCTGGCCGGCGAGCCGAGTTTTGCCCGGCCGGGGTCTTCGCGTCTGAGCGGCGAAAGGGCGTTTTTTCTTGTGGCTTGAAAGGACGCTACCACGAAAACAGCTCAAAACAACTAGAAACCTAAGGGGATCACCTGTTAAAGCCTAACTTTGAGTGGGTGAAATGGAAACTACCCCAAAGCCAACTAACAACAACTAAAAGCCAAGGAAACCGGATGGCTGGGAACCAGGGTTATAATCGATGGGCTAAGGCCTTGCATCATGACCTTGAGCTCGTGATCACCTGAAAGATCGATAAGTAGATGCATTCCTAGCTGGACTCAGTTGGCCGCGGGTCAAAATCCTAATCGTACCCCCAGTGCACATCCCAATCCCCACTAAAATAGACTGAAATGGGTGGTGCACCTACCCCAAGATGGTACCTTTAGTCTTGACCCACAGCCAGTTGTCCAAAGGATCTGGAACAAGAAGGCTAACCTTTCGGGATCTTGACTAAAAATGGACCAAAAAGGGAAAGCCAGAAGGTCGAAAGGTCGATTCGCTTTGAACAACTGAGTGGATCAGAATGTTGTCAAGCATCCGACTTGCCGACCGCCAGCGTAGAAACGGAGATCCCGCATTCCACTCCCATAATGCGTAGCACGCATACTCTGAGCCAACCTGGCTGGCATGAGACCATGACCGACCGCCAAAAAGTACTGATGAAACAAGTCGAACCGCTCGGTCTCCACAGTCCGCACCCCTGGCCGAACTTAGAAAACAGAACAACTTGAAACAAAATACGCAGGAACTCTCAATATTGATGGTGGTCTATTCGGAAAACAGGCGCAAACTGCGGAACCTCACTTAAGGTTCGCTCAGCCCGGCAATCTAAGCTCGTGAGTAAATGCCCTCTTTTGCATACTGGTCCCAGTCCCGATACGTCGAAACATTGGACACACAGTCACACACACACACACTGCTTCATACCTCGATGGCCTATTCCTTAGCTAAGCATCGCAACTGAAAACGTTTATTTCGCCCACCTTCAACACAGTCCCCAGAATTCGCCTGCGGTCTTGTGCTGATGGTTTGCAAGAAGAGCCTATTTTGAATCAAACTCCAGAAGGGTTTGCCGCCTCTGCCTCTCACTCCAAGTATCTTGTCTTGGAACATACAGCACCACTCTTTCCGCTCTTGAACCCCGAGTACGCGACACCAAGAGCACATGCGAGGATGTGGCACGTTTCCCTTTCTCGAATAATCAAACTTGACCAGAGTCACCTTCCCTGTCATGTCGTGACGAAGACTCACAGCTTGATGGTGGTCAACGGCGCCAGTGAGTTCTAAATTGTTTTGAATGTTGGTGCGGGAGCTATGCGCGATGTGTTGCATGCCGAGGACATCATTTATCCTACGTGAAGATAGTGCCAACAAGACTGGGAGTTCATGTTGACCAGGATCGTCTCGATCACACTTAACGGGCTGGGCAGGAAACTTAGTAAGAGGTTAGTAAGCCTGGCTACAACCAGGCGAACATTATTGCCATGGCTTTTGTGGGTTACCCGATCGCCCCTTTAAGCAGAATCCAACGAAAGAGCCGTTGAGGCGGTTTTACGGTTTCCAAGGTGTCACGTGCCTTGTCTCCGGCTCCTTGCCGCGGAACCGCAGCTCCTGAGCTGGGCGTATCGGCTTTTCGCATACCCTGGCTGTCACAGACTTGGACGTAAGTTTGGAGCTCCTGGCAATGCCTTCCTCAGGTATTCCTACTTAAACGGGCATGGTACTTAGAAGTGGTTAGTCAGCCTGGTTTTGACCCGCTTGCCATGGTTATCCAGGCTTGCTAAGCACTTGCTAAGTATCCGATCGCTAAGTACAATGCTCAAAGAAAGGTCCCAAATGCAAAGCGGTTGCCCAGTTGGAAGTGTTGCTTCTGTGGAGGCTGCGGAACGAGTGCTGAACAAAAACTTCTGAAGAATTCCTTGGCCAATCCTTCCATTTGCTTGTTCGCCCCTGGAAAAAAGGAGAAAATACATTCCAACATACATTCCAACATTAAAACCAACCAGGGAACATGACACACGCTTTCTTGTGTCAGTGCCTCAGGAACTTGGAGGATCGGGAGGCGGCACACAAGAGCTGCATCCTGTGTGCATGTGGCAAGGCGAGTTTTCCACGAAAGCAGAAGCAAATTGAAGGCGGGCGACTTATCCAACAGCGCAGTCACCTGAGAACACATGTAGGCATCAAGGCTACCCGCAAGACTGGTGGCAAATGATCGCGAGTTGATTCTATAAGCACAAGTCACTCAATGTCCTACTCAAATGCCAAGACACCTAGCCTGGATCTTCACACTTGCCAAGTTGTGCCAACGCTGGTGCAAGTAGGATCAAGTAGGGTTCTTCCATGATGTGCAAGTAGGATCAACTTGTATCAGATTATCAAATAGCATTGTGTCATTTCCAATATATGGTGTAAACATGACGACCCACGAATCCAAAGCTGCACGTGCCATTTGCAGCTAGCCACGTGTGAAGAAAATCAACATGTAGACAGCCTTGCAAAACGGTTCATGTTAGTCGGCTAACTTCAGATCCCCTCCTAAAAGTTTAACTTCTAGCAAATTAAATGGACCCCCCCCTAAACCCTAAAAACCTAAAAACCTAAAAACCTAAGGAACCGGACGGCTGGGAACCGCCAAGGTTAGAAAGCAGAAATCCTTTCACCCGCCCGAGCCTCGTGTTTGCACAACACATCCGAGTCCCCGGCTTCTGCAGCGACCGACATCAAATGGTCGGAATGAGTCGGGGGTTGCACAAAGCGATATGTGTGCGTGACCAAAGCAACATATAAATCAGCTCACATATTTAACACATGTGTGGATTCCAAAGGATGGGCGTGGTTGATCTAAGTCGCAAACGGGTTTTGCCGTTCCGGGGACCTCGTGCTGAGCGAGACATGAGCTGCGGAGTCTCAAGATGACAAGACGGTGATAGAGCGTGTGCTTGAAAGTATCATTTCGGGCACAAGGCAATACCTGCATTGGCATCTTCAACAGCCAAATGCCACACTGACAACTGCATCAACGTATTGTTTGGGGGGAACAACAGGCATCGTACCACGCAATGCCTGAAGCAACAAACTCCTGAACGAACACATTCAGAAACACGCGCTATGCTGCAGGCGGATTAGAGGGCACGAGCCTCCCAACACCATGACCGCCGTATGCCAGAAAGTGCTTGAGCGATAGCGTGTACCTTGAATTCAATAGGATTTCAGTAGGTAGGAGAAACTAAACAACTGGAACAAGGAAATGGCCCATCAACATCGAGCCTTGCAAACACTACTTATCTTGAATATCGATGGGGTAGGCTCTCAAAGGCCAAACATGGCTAAGTCACCTGGACCAATGGCATCGCAAAGAACTGTCGATTCCTGAATTTTCGATGCTTCCGAAGACTTGACGCGTGTTGTAGACGGACAAAAATCACGGACTATATGACGTGTTTGTGTGTGTGCAATTTCGCGAATATCAGGTTTGGTCAGATTGAACTAGTATCCTGTTCACATCTGTCGCGTCCCTTTCCCTTCCCTTCCCGCATCCATGTGCCCTTTTTACTGCAAGAGCGTTGCGGGCGCTGCGAAACTTTTGGCTGGCACAAGCGACCTGGGCTGGGGCCAAATTGTTCTACTGGAATAGCTCAAGCTGACAAGGACAACAACGGCAACATTCAGTTGAAGTTTCCTCAAATGGAAGTGGGAGTAAAAAGTTTTAACACGGGTGCCCGCAACACATGCATTGCCAAGGACTGAATCAAGGAGCTGGCCTCTGCAACACTGCACTGGCCTAGTATTGAGTAACTAACGATGATGATAGCCAATGCTATCGCGGAGAGATGGCCATGGGTCAAAATCCCATACCCCCCAGTAAGCACCCCAACCCCCACTATAGACTAAAATGGGTGGTGCACCTACATCAACAAGGTACAGGCAAACGACAAAGCCATGCCTAAGTCACTCCTTTAGCTCTGTGGCCATGTGTTCCCCATGTGAACGCCGATTCCAAGAAGTCAATTAAGTCACGCCCCGGCAACAAGTCCCATGGAACGCTTGACATTACCGAGCTGATCATGCTAAAAAACACAGGTGTCAACACTGAAACACAATGGAACGCTAATGATGGCAAAACATGTTTTCCAGCCCCGCGAGGCGTGTGCAGGAACATGAAAACCAATGGAACGCTAAGCAAACGATAGGTTGCTGCAGGAGAGTTTAGGAAGACATGATACAATGGGTGGCCTTTGCCGGCTCTTGTACCGTCTTTTTTCACGTCCTGGGGATCTTTCTCTCGAAGGCAGGAAGGCGTATACGCAATGCATCCTGGCAAAAAAACGAGATCAAAACGAGATCACCGATCGTCCGTTGAAGAGTTGGGCCCACATGTGCCAAACCCGCGCCCACAAGTTCACTCACATCTGCGCCCGCTCCCATCAACTCACTTCCACACCCACTTTTCGACTGGATTCCACACTTGCGAACGCCAGCCGCTCAAGCGCGCCCGCTCAGCCCTGCGCACACACGCTAGCCAAATGGTAGGCACCCCCGCTCAAGCTGAACACACGCCAGCCAAATGGCAAGAACTCCCGCTCAGCCCTGCACACACGCCAGGCTAGTCCAGGTGAGAGGAAAAGCAAGGCGCCGACTCAAACCAGCTGTAGCAAAAGAGACGTCATGTCTCAAGATTGCAAAACAGACTGTAAACGCTCCTTGCCGGATACAATAGAACGTGCCTAAACCATCCTAAACTTACCGGAATAACCATTTTCAACTGCAATGCCTCCCAAAAACCTATCTCTTCAAACATGCAGAGTTCCTATGCGTTTTGGAAAAAGGCACGACTTCTTCGAAACCCTCGCCCCCATGAAAATTTAAGCAGTGCCTCAAACGGAGGCACACCGACGACAGCTGGATACAGGTGGCATGTGCGCCTTCTGAAATAGACACGAGTCAATTGAACAGGGCTCAACATGTCAATTCGGGGTGAAAACATTTGCCGCGGCAAATCCCAGCAAACCAGTCGAACATGTAAGCTGCAGCGTTCATACTTGATGCAGAAACTAATTTGGTGAGTTGACTGGCTCATGACACCCTGCTTTTCCCTGCTTGCTCTCAATCACTCCCATGCTATTGCCCCCTGCCACATAAAGCAAAGAAGGGTTGTCGCACAGCATATAGCACCTTCAAGTTTAGGAGGCTTTGCGAAAAAGGGTAGCAAAGGAAACCTGACTTAAGTTTCCGCTACTCTCTGATTCGTTTAGGGCAACGCGGTCAACAAAAGGTTCCGGGAGAAGGGTCCATGCTTCTGCTGAGGCTCGTGGCAGGTTTCAGGGGCAATGGCTAGGAGAGATGCCATCTTGTGGATAGTTTTGTCAACCAAATTGCTGAACTCTGCATGCTCTAGTCTACAAGCTGAACTTATGAATCAAAAATGATACCTCACACCATGCGAGACGCAATGAACTGCGACTGATCCTTGGTCTTTGGACGGCGCTCATGAGCTTGGAGCTAGCCCTCGGAAACCTCCAACATGTGAGCACACAAAACAAAGTGTGATGCGGGCCCCTGTTGTTCCGTCACGAGCCCAAAAGCAGTCATCCCAACAGCACAGCTCCCTGGCCCAACTTGCAATCCATCGAGCCCTGGCCTTCACCATTGAAGCTGACCCAGGCCATGTGAACTATAGGACCTGTGCCAGGAGGGTGTGTGTGTGTGCGCGATTGTTTTTGTGCAGGTGACGGATTTTTGTGGCGGTGTTTGAGCATGATTTTGTGTGTGTGTGAGTGCGCGCGCGCGCGTTCGTGCATGGTTCGCTTGGCTACTGCTTGCTGCTTTGGGCTGATCAATCTGGACAGTGACAGCTCCAGGGCGGAGTCTCGGTCATGTTGGTTTTGTTTTACGGTTGGCTCGCACCCTCCAGCACATGGGGGGTCCTGCTTTCGGAAAACGTCACTCTTCGCAAGAGGCAAACCTCTTTCGCGAATCCTTTCGCAACTCCAGCGCCGCGCCTCTCTTTTTGCAGCCTACGCTCTGGAATTTTGTGGCTACTGCAGTTACGCTTCCAAACGCAGTAAAAATAAGCGCGCAGTTCACTTGTACTGGCAGGTTTGCAACG